CTCTCTTCAAGATTTTTCCTTGTGGTTAATTGAGAATCCATTCTCTTCATCCTTCACACAAACTCCCACTTTTTTTGCTCTAAATTGTTTCTATTTATGGAGTTTCAAAATCTTGATCTTGCAAAAATGGGGTTCACAGAAAATATTCATCAAATGAATGGAATTTCATTGAGAAATCCCCTAAAGCCAATATCTACAAATCCAGTGGAGAAACTAGGGCTGCAAAAAGGTGATGATGAAGAAGAGTTTTCAACAACACCAAAATCTGCAGATTCAAGAATTCCAAGCATACTGATATGTCCACCAGCCCCAAAAAAGCGAAAAGCTTCTTCAAAATGTCATTTTGCTGGTGTTATGGAGTTCTTCAATCCAGAAGACCTGGAAACAGTTTTCATTCCTCGGGGTCGAAAGCGCTTGAAACGGTGTTGAACAGTATAATAAACAAGATTTTAACTTCATTTCTTCTTTAACCGGCGTTAATGTTTAACCCCATTCTTTTCTACTTTATAGTCTTCAGTTTCTGTCCCTTTTTTTTATCAGTAATTGGTGCCAGGAGTCTCATGCACATGGCTTTTTAGCCTAAATAAGCTGTCAGTTTTAACTTATAAGTGGCTTCCTTAATTTTCTCTTAAGGATTCAACCTATTGCTTCTTTGTTTGCTCAAACTGAAATATCTTGATACGATGTTAAAACTTATTGTCTGATTTCTTTCAATTTACCATATCCTGGTAACATTTTTCATTCTTCCAGTCAAGATTTTTACCTCTTTTTTTTCATGCACTGTTTCTTAATTCTTATTTAAATCAGATGGAAATTTTAACTTGTTGATTTCCTTTTAAAGCATTCATCCGTGTACTTTTGTCTTTGCTAAACCTGAATCTTTATTTACCATATTCGATATACTGGTGAATAGAATGGGAAAACTCTGTCGACCTTGAGTTCTTGGATGTATTCAATGTGTTCGCGTGTTTGGGGACAAAATGATCAATTAGATAATTTCGGCCAAAAATTAAATCAACACCATACAGGTCTATATACAAGTCATATAATCTACTGTTAACAGTTTTACATAATTTGTATTTAATTATCTTGTGCCTATTTACATGGTCCGATATGCACAACACATAGTATCCATTATTTATAGGGATGTCAATTGGGCCGAGCCGACTCGGCTCATCAAAGCTCGGCTCGTGGACTGCTCGGGCTCATCCTCGAGCCGAACGAGGGGTCCCGTCCAATGAGCCTAGCCCGCTCGGCGCCGGCTCGTCCAAAAATGTGGAAAAAAATAAAATTTTATCAATAAAATTTGAAAAATTTGAAAAAAAAAATTTCACGAGCTCGCGAGCCGCTCGTGGGCTCGGCTCGGCTCNGCCGAGCTCGAGCTCGGCTCGCCACGAGCCCGAGCCCAAGCCGAGCTCGTGGGTTAAGGCTCGACCCATTGCCATCCCTAATCATTTACGGATATGCACACATTTTATAATACTCACAATTCTTATTAAAATATACTAATATTCTTATTGAAATATACTAAAAATTTAATTTTTATCCAAACAAAAAGAAAGGTAAAAGAAAAATACATACACCTAAGGTCATGGACTAGGATTAGAATCCTACACTATTTGAATAGCACTACTAGATTAGCATGTACATTTCAACCTTTGGTTTCACATTATTTATTTATTTTTATTTTTTTGTACAAGTGAATAGATATGATATTTCGAGAGCAAATCATGATCGAGAATAAATATTTGATGGTTTCTTCAGAGCCTTGGTTTGGAAAATTTATGAATTATAAATAAGTGATTAAATTTTATTTCAACCACACATTTTAATAGACTCATAAATAATATTCACTTGTCCATCGTTCTTTAATTCTATCAATTTACAAGTTAAACTTTTTATAAATTTTTCCAAACGGAGGCTTAGTTAAATGCTGAAATCTAGCTACATTTTAAAAGATACGTGGCTATGAAAGAATGATAAATAATTATTAGTAAATGAGTCTCAACAATCACTTTCCAAGTCAAGCGATTGAGTAATGTCTTAGACAAATGAAATAGCAAAACTAAAAAATTGATCCAAAATAAATAAATTAAAGTGGAGCTGTGGCGATCGTCATCCCAATACGAGCGAAACAGGCAAATGAAATTGGATTATTCTTCGTATACATCACCAAGTACATAAGGATACCCATTATGGATACCCTCCTACGCCGGGTGTCGATAATGGGCACCCTTATGTACCTCTCTATACACACCAAGAATAATCCGGTGAAATTTAGTACCATCCTAACTCATTGTCATCACTAGTTTTGTCTGGATATCTATATAATTTTTTTATTCAGATTGTTGCTCTTATTAAAACTCTATATAGGGATCATTGTTATGATAAAATTATACACTCTTTTGACTCTTTAGTCTCTGATTTTATTCTTATTCTTTCTCCATTTTATAACATATAAAATAATAAACTATAATTATATGCACTAAAACATTATTGAATAAAATGATAAGACAGGGAAATACTTATGTAGGGACCTCAATCAATTGAAAGTAGCACAGATTCAATTTTGTAATACTTTGATCTCCAATAAATGGAAGGGGGCGGCTCAATGTACAACCCCTCACATGGGGGCGGAGCCTGCGTATTAATTGGGTGTGGGTCCCTCCATTCATGTGAGGGGGAGTATAGGCTCGTGTACAAGGGAAAAAATCCTAAATGGAAGCCATTTATAAGGTTTTTGCACATCACGTATTTACTTTCTTTCTTTTGTTTTGATTTTATATCTCATGAGTGTACGGATCGTAATAAGTAGAAAAGCGAATCTAAGAATCCGAATTACCTTTTTCACGAGGACTAATATCTAACCGTTGGTTTAATTATGCTCGATTTCAATTCAATCAAGAATAAAACAAAATGTATTTATCTTATTTTTACGTTTTTTTATTTTAAATATACAAAAAATAATTAATTAGGTATATGATTGTTATAGTGTTATGATTTACAAGTTCACCGTAGCTATCCCTTTAAATTTCAATCACCAATTTTTATAATAACTAATTACTTGTACTCGTTAAATTCTTATACAGTAATTGATTTACTTCTCTTGAATTCAAATCAATTCTACCCAATTAAGTCAACACAACATATCTCTATGTAAACTCGGATAAGCTTTAATCAAGTGCATTTCCAATCTCCAAAGAATTTATTTAACGATCTCGACAACAATAAAAGCATACATCTATCATTTCATCCAAATTACAGATTTTTTCTACGTGGTATAAACAAACAATTCGCCTCTTGACGTAATTATCGTCCACAAATTAATGAATTACAGGACAATTAATCCAAAACATTAAGAATGAAAATAAAAATTATTCACAAGCATCAATTAAAAATTTCAATTTTATAATTAAAATTAATGTTTAAAACTAATTTACATTAATTCATCCTAACTATTTGTTTAATTACATATCATTGGAGAATAAAAAAATGGATATCATTTGATTTTAAGGAAAATGCAAAATAGATGATGATATATTGCACCAAGAATCCACATTTTTCTCATAAGAACCTTGAAATGCTAGCTTCTTAATTGATTTCTTGATTTTTCTTTTATTTTGGGCTCTATTTTATTGCAATCGATACGACTTTTCCCCCAAGAGGCACATTTGTCTTGTATATGGGTTTAATGAATTCTCAATAGGTTTTTTTAAATAGTTGGACTATGTGTTTATAGACTAAAATTAAAATTAAAATTCTTGTCTCAATTGGGTTCAAGAGAGAGTTTGAAAAGATGAAAAAACAATTCCATTTTTTCAATTTGACCAATTTCTCATACAATTTTAATCCTTCATCTTCTAATTTTCATAATTAAGTCCCCTTCATCCTAAAATATTAATAATTGATAAGGTGCAATTTTCAAAATTTAAAATTCAGTCCCCAAACTTTTCAAATATCAAATTTGACTCTCAAAACTTAGAATTTTTATCGAATGCTTCATTAACACTTCTAACTGATCAATTGCAATTCAATTAATCTTCAATGGCTTTGAATTAACTCCAATTAAACTCCAAATAACCCTCTCCTCACCAATTGTATCTAAGTTCAAATTTTCTTTTCAGAGTTAACTTAATTTATACAAAATTATGTAGATAATCACTCAATTTGCATATAATTGAATACGAATAGAAGCTCGAATAAGTACATAAATACAATTATTAATATTAAGTTGACTAATTTTCACTGTTAAACACTTACCTTTATTTTAAAAAACAAATAAATGAAAAAAGAAAAAAATAAAAATAATCCTTCTAAACCATCCCCGCAAAATGATACTATGACACAATGCCAAAAAGTGTTGAAAAATACTGAATAGAAATGGCATTGGAGATAGAAAATACATAAAAACTAGTAATTCTAATTACAATAATGCTATCCCATTTTCAAATTTTGCATAGAAATAGCACAGGACATCAAGGAAAGGTTTGAATATTTACGCTTTCATACAATTTTTTGTTTAACGTCTTAGTGGAGGAGATATTGACAAATATTGTTGCTATGGCAAGAGAGGCAAATAAAATCAACAAGATTTCACTCATCCGAAACTTAGGAATTGGCAACGGAGAGGGACGGCCAGGGACAACCTTCCTTGCTCCCGTCTTCTTCCCTAATTAATTTTCCCGTCTTCAACTCGGAGCAAATTTCTTTGTCCATACCCAACTTCTATAACTCAGTTAAACTCGAAATTCCCATCGTGTTTAGACAACATACCCATGTGAGATCAGGCTTGCCTTGCTCCGCTGCCATTTCTAGACTATGTCCTTGTTTAAAAATCACTATTTAAAAATATATATTTTCCCCAAAATGGGGCTCAAAAAAGCGGCTTAAAGATTATAAACTGTCCATATGGTAAATAAATGGAGGACCCAAAATGTAATTTTCTCTGCAAATAAATATACGGATAAAACAATATTCTAGAACAAATATCACTTGCAAGTTGCACCCTGATGACATCGGTGCACATACACCACGCACAAAATGTGATACGTCATGACATTATTATTTTTGTTGATACGTTTCAAATTGATCATCCCCACCGCCGCCACCGTCGCGCAGCAGCACCCGTTCCACCACCATGAAGCAAAAGACATGGCCATACAAATCCTGCAGCCATCAATTCACCGGCCTCCCTTTCATCAATAAACCCAACAAAAAATCCACCAAAGATCGTCAAACCCGTCAGCTCAATTTCACTTCAAAATCATCTTCTTCATCGTCGTCCTCGTTTTTGTCGTCGTCGAAGTGTAAGGAACCGGATTTCTCTTCGCTCCCTTACGATGTTTTAGCTAGAATCGCCTCGTCATTCTCGCTGCCTAACTTGCAGTCGGCGTCGCTGGTATGCAGAGGATGGAGGGATGCACTCCGGCCGTTGAGGGAGGCAATGCTGTTCTTGAAGTGGGGCAAGCGGTTCAAGCATGGCCGTGGGGGAGTGAAGCCCAATTTGAAGAAGGCCTTGGATTCCTTCTTAAAGGGGGCGGCGCGTGGGTCCACGATGGCCATGGTGGACGCCGGATTGATTTATTGGGAAATGGGGAAAAAGGAAGAGGGTATTGCTTGGTATAGAAAGGCAGCTGAGCTTGGTAACCCTGCTGGCCAGTGCAATTTGGGTATTTCGTATTTGCAAGGTAATTGCTTTTTTATAGTTTAGCTTTTACTTATTTTCGAATTGTTTGTTGAACTTGTGTTTTATATGCAGTATAGGAATCTCGATTTGTTGAACTTGTGTTTTATATGCAATATAGGCATTTCGATTTTGAATTGATTTGAAGTGGGCGAGTCTAGATTGTGATGAAACTTTAGTTCTTTGAATGTAATTCTGTTGTTTCTGATAAAAAGAGCCACCAAAGTTTAGTCCATTCAAAACTATTTTTAGATTTATTCTTTTTCATGTTTTCCTCTGTGACGTGGTTATGCTGCATTTGATTAAAATCTGGCATGTACATAATAATATCATAAAGTTTTGAGCAGTTTTCAGTCGGAGAAGTCCGTCGGGAGCCGTTACTAATAGAAGTCCGTCGGAGAAGTCTTTGCTAACATTCTTTTATCTATGATACCTTAATAGATATTTCAGTGTAAGCAACTAATAACATCATTTATGTGCCTTGATTCATAAGCCCATCTCCAACGCTGCATCAAAATTTGCACCATTTTGCACCAAATTAAAATTCGTCTCCAATTATTACACCAAAACTTACACCAAATGAACAGTTATTAACCATTTTCTTTCATTTTTTTATTTTTTATAATTTATTTATTTGAAATATTATTTATTTCATTATTTTATAAATACATAAATTACTAAATAAATAATTACGTTAAATTAAGGAAAAGATTAAAATAATAATAATTATTATTATTATTTATTGTATTAAAAAATATATAACACAAATGAGACAAATACCATTAATCAATTTATTTGGGAAAGGAAAATGAAGGGTAAAAATGACTTTTGGACACTTTGCACCAAAATAGTGCAAAGTTTGGTGTTGCATTGAAGGTGTTTTACACCATTTTTTGGTGCAGCCGTGTCCCTGCCCATTTGCACAGGGCCTATATAGGGGCTGTCACATGAGGGGGGTGTCAAATGGACCTGTGCAGGGAGCTTTTTTCTTTTTGGTGTTTTGGGGTAAGCATTGGAGATGACCTAAACGTTTGCTGGGATAATATCTTTTATTGCTGATTCATTGCCTGTCTGCCATGAACATTGAGAATAACTATCGTTGAATGACGAACTGTTGTGTTTTCCTTTGGACAAAATTTCAGTCAAGTGCTCAGCAGCAAAGCTTGTATACGGAATTAAAAAACAACTAAAGAAAAGTGATGAATCTGTCTGTCTCGATGGCTCCTTTGATATATGTTTAAAGAGAATGTATTTAATATATTTCTATTTTGTGTAGGGCATTCATTTGAGTAAGTGCCCTGTTTTTGGATTTGCCAACAGAACGTGGTTTATAAAATAAAAGAGATTTTTTTTTTTTTTTTTTTTTTTTTTGTGTCCTTTGTGATATCCATCAGCAGATTCCAAAAAATTATGTTACTTCTGACCATTGTCAATGTCTAATATTCCATTTTGGGCTACTGGGGAACGAGAGGCCTTTGAAGATTAGCATGTATATTGAGATTTGAGCATTTTTGAGAAGTGTTTATGAATGATTTAAATTATAAATATATAGAAATGAGTGTGAATAAGTGGGTAGTACTTGTGGGGTCTCTCGAAATGTGTGGATAAAAATGGTGTGATTATTTATAAACAATTTATAAACATGAGCCAAACATATAGTTAAAAATGGTAATTTTGTTGAACTGATAGATTGATTTTGGATATCTGTTTCTTGCATCCTGTACCAGATATGCTAACGTGTTTTCTCCTCAATAAGACACAGCTCTTAAAGATTGACGGTGAAAATGAGATAGAGTTAACCGATAATTATGAACTCAAATAAGGACGAACATTCATGGCTAATAAAAATAATGTCTTTTTTCAGGGTAAAAAATGGAGTTGCATTTGTAATGAACAGTAATAATAATGTGTAGTACTTTTAGTAGTACCCTTTCTGTTATGTTGTCCTGAGCTATGTAATCGTGCAGCTGATCCTTCTAATGCCAAAGAGGCAATTGATTGGTTATATCAAGCTTCAGTTGCTGGTAGCGTTCGAGCTCAGTACCAACTCGCTCTTTGTTGGCATCAAGGTCGTGTGCTCCACCAAAACCTCCAAGAAGCGGTATAATGTTGTTACAAAACTTTCTTACTCTCGATAATTAATATATGCAGTTGTAGAATAAATCTTGAAATCTGATCTTCAATTTGTTTTGCTAATTAGATACTGCTGGTTCATATTAATTTTCTTCTTCTTTCCAAGAAGCTGCTAAATTTCCTTTTATACTTTGCACTTATCAGATTTTGTTAATCTAGACGTAAAACTGCTAACTTTTCTGAAATTACTTTTTTCCAGCTAATGAATACAGACACATCCTTGTTTGGCTAAGTATGTCGAGTTTTTTTTCTGTTTAACAAACTCTTGATTAAAGTTGAATAGTGCACGAGGAATATCTGATATTCCCACGTAGTCGAGATGAATAAGGCCTTCCATTTTGTAATAACTTTTGATAGCATATTGTTTTTTCGATATGGATTCTTATAATAACTTCGACACTTACGAATTTCTAAATTCCAATCTTGACAGGCTCGATGGTATCTACGAGCTGCAGAAGGGGGGTATGTGCGTGCTATGTATAATACCTCCTTGTGCTACGCTTCTGGCCAGGGGCTGGTCCAGTCGCACAGATTAGCAAGGAAATGGATGAAGAAGGCAGCTGATCGTGGTCATAGCAAAGCACAGTTTGAGCATGGTTTGGGTCTTTTTTCCGTAAGTTACCAATACATCCCATTCTTTCATAGTAAAGTTCTTTAAGTGATGTTGGTGACATCGATAGATGATTTTGTGTCCATATTTTTGCTCCAGACTTATAGAAATAACAGAGTTGTGAAAAAGGGGTTTTCCGTTTTTTGTATTCAAGATTTTACTCCGTAATATTGTGTATATATCTTCAATGTATTTTAAGGAGTAGCGTGGAAAACTGATGGAAGTCTTTGGTGCTACAACTTGGAACATGTTTGGCTAAGCTTAAAGTAACTTATCCCAAACATGTTTCAAAGTTACTTTTTTTGGAACAGAAACTTACTTTTGTAGAAACCGTACTTTTCTTTTTAGATAGAAAGTACCTGGACATAATTTCAATCTTAGCCAAACATGTTCTCACCAGGGAGGGGAGATGATGAAGGCCGTGGTATACTTGGAGCTTGCAACGCGAGCTGGTGAGACTGCTGCTGCTCATGTCAAAGATGTTATCATTCAACAGCTATCAGCAACTTCTCGTGATAGAGCAATTCATCTGGCTGACAATTGGCGTGCTTTGCCTTCAACTCGTTGAACTTTACGGGCTTGTGCTCCTTGTTTTGCCGATAAACCTTCCGACAATTATCTTCTGTTGTTATGGTTTTACTGTTAGAGCTTCTCTGTCATAGAAATATTGATTTTAGAAAGAAAATAAAGTAAGATGTGATATGGTTTTATACCTTTTTCTGTATTGAGTTTTGTTTCGTTGCAGATTTTGTAAAATAATTGCGTGATGTAATTCAGTCTTGCAAGTTCTCTTCGATCATGGTGTCTGCATAACAAAGTTATGGTTATTCTGTCCAATTCATCGTATCAACTGTGTTATCAATGTGTAAATTTTGATGGATAAACAACTTAAAAGTGCAAACCCACATCAATGCAAGCCAAACAACACCATAATATCAAATCTGCAGTCAAATAGATGTACATTATTTGCAGTACAACTAATAGACAATGGCTATACAAGAATGAATCAAACCGTTGTGTTGATAAATAGGAAATTCTCGAGAATACTACGCAAAAATTCAACTGGGATTTCATTAGTCGGAACCCATCCTGTCCTCCTCCCTCCGAGCAAGCACATATTATCTATTTCTGGAAATTTTTATCTATTTCTCGATTTGTCCATAAGATTCTTGTTTAGAAAATTTATTTAGAAACAAGAAAACATAAAATAGATGGAGAGAAGAAAATAGAGATATTCTACTATATGAAAAATCAATACAATTATTTAGAATCTCGTGCACACCCTGTTGACCCCGAAAATTGGTCCTTCCACGTGACCAACTGAAAGCTATCCCACGTGTTCCTCCCTGCGCACAATTAGCGAATAGTTAGGTGCACACGGACGGAACTAGTGGGGGTGGTGACGACCGTATACACTCCGACGATCAAGTCAGGTTTAAGTGATCGGAACAGTATCTAGGGGCTATGCAAATCAATGATAAAGGGGGAGGAGAAAATATATAAACTTGCTATGGAGTGCTATGTAGTGAAAGTTTCATTACCTTTGCCTCTTGCGAAACCTTGGGTATTTATAGGTGGTATGAACCGTTGGATGTGGGACGCGTGTATATATCTGACGGTATGAAGCGTCCGCTCATAGGCGTCAATCAGCCGCGTTTGTACAGTGGACGGACAGTTTGTTTCTTCTGACTTGAATTGACATAAAATTGATAAGTCACATCATCTAACCTCATAAAAACGTCAAATCAATTTAAACCTTAGGTGCAGAAAAGATCTTGGCACAAATCTCAAATTGGCGATGGATCTTCTAACCGGGGTCCACTTGACCTCGACCTCGGAGGCGAGATGTTTCGGCAGGTCAGTGATAGGAATTTCTATATCACTTCAGAGACACTTCGAAAGGGTCGTTTTCAGGTCGGAATATGTGGTGCTGCGAGTCCGAGGCGTGTAAGATCGGAGCGTAACACACTCCCAACCACAATTACACACAAGAATCTACATACTAAGAGAACCCACTTATTACGTACTAGATGACACTGCAAACGATATCAAGTCTCACCCCAAATTAGCTCATAACTATCTCACAAATTGGGATAAATGAAACACCAAAGAAAAACCTCTATTTATAAGGACACAAAAGGATAGCCTTTTGATTTGTATTCCGTATGGAATTCATAACAAGTCTATTAAAAGTAGGAAACCAAAAATTCTATTCTATTTGAATAGAATAGTGCTATTTGCAGTTGCTTACTAAAATTGTCGTCCTACGTGACATTAGGGATATCAATCGGGTTCGTCAACTCGACCCCAAAAAGCCCAAGCTAGCTTGACTCGGGGCTCGATGTCGGGTCGAGCCCGAGCTGGCTCGAGCTCATGGGCCTATATTTAAAAATAAATAAATCTAACTACAGATGCAGCAGCTTGCTGCCTTATTGAAATTTAAGGTAGTAGATTGCTGCCTTAAAAATGGCAGCACGGTGCTACCGTTATTAAAAAAAGAAAAAAAATCGACCCTATCTGGCTTGGCTCGGCTCTGCTCGGTAAGGCCCGAGCCTTGATTTCTTGGCCAAACAAAAGCTTGGTTTGTCTCGGGCTCGCGAAAAAGCTCAGACCATTTTACTCGAGTCGAACCCGAGCCTCGAGTTTCTACTTGCAAGCCAACTCGACTCGTTAACACCACTACGTGACATACACATGACAGATGATTATTTAATGTATGAGCGAATAACAAACTATCACATTAATGCATCTAATAATTACCTGTCATGTGCATGTTACGTAGGACAACTGTCATAATGAACGACTACAAATAGTATTACTCTTTGAAATATAGACAAAAAACAACCATATTTTATTGAGACAATACCTTACCAAAAATCCTAACAAAATTAACACATGGGTTTACTGAGGATATATTTGATTGAATACTTTATTACATATTTCAACTAATCAAACAAAACGGTGTAAAGATATTCACATACCCACTTTAAATTTGTTGTAGTGTTAAGAAATAAATCTTACGTCGAATAAATATAACAAACATATATGGACTTGGGTTGCTAAATGATATTCACTTGCTTCAAATTTATTATAAACAAGACTTGGTTTTTTAAAACATATTAAGGGGAGGATAAATCCCACGCCGAATAAATATAATATAGGGAAATTTTAATAACTAGGCCCTTTTCAGATAACAATTTTAGAAGTACTGCGACATTTTCTAAATATCAAAAATACTATATGTCACATTATAAAATTCCAAACCTACTTTGATATTAAAGTGGCGATATATTAGCTTATTCCCTGAATTCCTCTATTGTCTATTGCTGTCTATTGCTGTTTAATCAATATTGTGCAATAAATGATATTATTAGGATAGCTCAATTGGCTAATTTTTGTGATGTGACATTTGAGTCATATGTTGTATGCTATGAAATGTATGCTATAGACAATGTTATGTAATTAATGTTTTCGATGTGTATTATTCGATTGGTTATGTTATATATAATTTCATTGATATTGAGCGACGAATTTTATAATAGTTGGACGAGTTCTACTTTATTTGCACTACATATATGGACGATGTCAATGGGTTTGCCTCGTGTTCTGGTAAAACTCTAGGCTTAATTCTACCGACAGGAACTACATACATTATGCTCGTAGACTTAGTACTTTCAGAGTAAAGGGTTGAACGAATGAAGAAAGCTTCTTCTATAAACTATGAGGTTGATCTACATATGGCACTAGTTAAGATTGCGAATGACACATCTATGATGTTTTATATGGAATTCAAAAGAAAGATGTCATTTTACAATGCTTGGGTGTTCCTTCAAGTTCACTTGTAATTAGATCAATGTGTGTGTAAAGTGCAACTTAGCCTAAATATGGAGGGATCACGAGTCAATAACAATGTTAACAATGATTGATTGGATACATACTTTATTTTATGTGACTCAAATAAAATATATATATATATACACGTAAAAATATATCCAAGTCTATACACATATACAAGCAGAAGTAAAAGCACTATGTTCTTGGAATCGCGTTTCGTTCGATAATGAGACACAATTAGGAAAAACGAAACCAGAGTGTGCAAGACCGCATGAAAAAGGATTTCTGCTGCAGTTACTTGTTTTCTCACAACATGAAAAACATATATAACATGATACAAAGAAACGTGACAATGCTATGAAATTGTGTTCACCAAATAGAGTGTTGTCCGGCCTTTTTATTTTTTATTTTTTAAAAGGTGTTATTTGTCTACTGGCTACTATTAGCGAGTTAAACATGAATATATGTTAATTCAATGAATCAAATATAAAATCAAAATTTTTGAATTGGTTGCAAGCTCCAACTAATCAGTTTTGGTTACCTAAAATTTGAACATATAATTTAAATAAATAATTGCATGATAGGGTTAAGTTTTACAAAATACAAAATTTTACTTAAAACAAAAAAAAAAAAAAAAGGGTGATTCATGTAAGGGTAATTCTTTATAAATCGTTAATACCCGAAACTCTAAAAAAAAAGATTGGATTTTACCACACACAAAAATTTATTTAGGCAAAAATAAAAAATAAAAAAATAAAAAAATGCGATTTATGTATGATTAATTCTTTAGAAATGGTAAAAATTGAAAACCCTAAAAAATAATGGATTATATACACTACAAACATGTCTTCTTCAAAAAATAACCAAGAACATGTGGAACATAGTAGTGTATCGCCTTCTTCTTCTTCATGGTAGATGTAAGATCGACAACCTCAACTACGCTCCTCCCATTTTTGCGATGCTAAGTGCATTTCTTGTTCGATTTTATATTTAGTCGACCACCGAACTCAAGGAGTCTTCAATCACGATTTTCTTCAACGACAACCATTGTTACCTCTACGGTAGGATGTTGAGGGATGATCAATTTGGATAGGCAAAATAACCTCAGGAGATGTGTTCCCCACTGGCAAATCCTCAATAATCACAGCATGAGAGTTGCAAATTCTGGTCATACACATTTTGTGGCGATACTTTTCGTATTTGTGAGAAATGGTGTATTGATTTGCTGACGAATGTGATGGGTAGAAGTTGTGATAGAATATCACTTTTTCACTCAAATAAACAAACTTTCATAAATCTTACAACATATATTTCATACAATAGAGCTATTTTCTCTCAACAACTCTCTTGTACAAACCTTACAATTTTTCTTCTACCCGAAGTTTACAATACATGCCAACACACCTATTTATAGAAAAAAAACTAAGAAGTGTTCAAGATGATCAAGTAACTTCCTAACCTCCTTTAGTAGAAGAAGTCAATTGGAACAAGTAACCTTATCCCATATCCTTTTATAGAAGGAGAGTTCACGATACTTAAATAACTTCCACCTTCTTTAGAGAAGAAGAGTTCAAGATGATTACGTAACTTCTTTAAAATCTCTCGACCAATGACAAGCTTTTCCTTCATCATATAAAATTCTTCTATCCAATAAAAACTTTTGCTTAATCAAGTTGAATTTGACTAAGTCATCAACTTGATATCTTTGAACTTCCTTTTATTTCTAGAGTTCTCTTGGTTAAGTTTACATTACTTTCAATAGAATGGTGAACTCTGTGATTAATAGAGTTAAGAGTTTCCTTTCCTACTGTAATTTTCGTATTGTATGATCTATGGATAGTCCCATCCAAATAAAAGATCTTGGGTGATATTGAGAATCTTAATTTGCGTGAAATATGGATATGTTATATAAATTTGGTTATAATGCGTAATCTGTGCTTATTAAAATATGATTATTTTT